TTTTTTTTTTTTTTTTAATTAGTGACTTTCAAATTGGGTAGGTTTTTTATATCGTGTGCAATTATTGTGATCTATAATGTGTATGCATGTATTTTAGGAGATAGTTTATAATTTATCAAGATTCTTATCAAAAGATTAATTCATTTTGTAATGTTCTTATCACCTTTCTTTTCTTCGTGGACAAAAGCAAGTTTTCTTTTGTTTCCATACCTGATTTTCGCGTCCAATTGATTCTATCATAAATGATTATTATGATTCACAGGCAACTTCAATTAAAGGAGTTGAAAGCAGCCTCATCACTGACTATACTCTAAAAGTAAGCTACACTCTTTTTTTTTTTTTTTAATAGCATAGATATATGGAGCAAATTATGCTAATTAAAGGATAATGATAGAAGAAACGATTTTATGAGATAAAAACAAAAAATAATAAGTGTGGTAAGGTCAAATTGTTTTTTTTTTTTTTTTTTTAATAGCATAGATATCTAGAGCAAATTATGCTGATTAAAGAATAATGATAGAAGGGACGATTTTATGAGATAAAAATGAAAAACAATAAGTGTGGTAAGGTCAAATTGATTATTTTATATCTTACACTTTGATCTTACCACACCTGTCATCTTTTATTTTCGTCTCATAAAATCATCTCCTCTATCATTATCCCTAATTAAATGACATGCCAAAAATCTATTTTTCAATTCTTGTTTTCCTCTTTTCTTCAAATGTATCAAATATTACTTATGCTCATTTGCATCATAATATGAAAATATGAAATGGATCAGATATTGGGACTGGAAGGATGCAAGGACACAATTGTGGGTGATGAAATGCACCGAGGGATCTCCGGTGGACAGAAAAAAAGAGTAACCACAGGTTAAACAAAATCCCCACTTATTTTCGGTCTCTGATATTTTTCAAGGAAAATGATTTGAGAACCGAAAAAGAGAATGATGTCCCACAAGAATTACACCAATTTTAGCTATTGATTAAGGGATGGGTTTTCATTAACTTTTATCAGCAGTTAAACGTGCACAGGTCCCACATAATCATCTGTAGAACTCACTTCGTTAATTACGGGGAAAAATTATTCAAAGTTTATCTTACAATAATATTATTAAAAATTATTTCACGATTTAAATTATATTAAATTATAAAATAATTATTCTTACGTTAGAAGAGAGTCTTTTAATATTGTGTCCTTATTTTTCATGTAAGGACTTTAATTTTATAATTTTATTATAATTTAAATTATAATATAAAAACCCTATTGCCATTTTGGATTTGTCTCCTAAAAAATCTAAAATATTAAAAAAAATAATTTTAGAATAATTTATTATTATTATTTTAAAGATAATTTTATGTATTAATTAAATAATTAATTTTTTTTATTCAATTAAAACTCTTTATATTAAATATATATTAATTAAATAATATATAAAAATTATAAAAAAAAATTATCCATATAACATTATTAATAGTGAATATGTTTCTAAATGCAGGAGAGATGATTGTGGGGCCAACAAAAACACTGTTCATGGATGAGATATCAACGGGTCTGGACAGCTCCACGACATATCAGATTGTGAACTGCCTGCGGCACATCGCACACCATACGGACGCCACCATTTTAGTCTCCCTACTCCAGCCTGCTCCTGAGACGTTCGATCTTTTTGATGATGTCATACTCTTATCGGAGGGCCATATCGTGTACCATGGCCCACGAGAGCATATCTTCAGTTTCTTTGCTGAGTGTGGGTTCAGATGTCCTGAGAGAAAGGGAGCCGCTGATTTCTTGCAAGAGGTAAAAATTTTTTTTTTAATATTATAAAGAGAATAATGTTTATCGATTTTAATTTTTTAAAAATTATGAAAAAAATTATTTTAAAATTATATTATTTTAATAAATTTTTATTAAAAAAATTAAA